TAAAACTGGAGCCAGATAGGCAGTGCCTTGGGAAATAGGCACACTTCACTGGGATTTCTTTGGCACCGAAGGCACTCAAAATTACCCTTGTCATCAACAAATATTTATTGGGCATCTTCTATTAACATGCAATCAAAGAATCAAAGACACGTACCATGTCTGCATTTACAGGATATGCTTCTAAAAGATGAGTGCATTAGAAAGGGATTATTTTTTATTGTTTTGTGAAGCATGGTTTTTTTAAAGTATTTATGTAAATTAACCCATAGAGCCAAGATTTCTGTAATTGAATTCATCCCATAGTAGCTGGTTATTTGGTGTTGTCTATGCTCCATAAAATTAATTTTAAAGACAAACGTTAGTGACAAAACAGTTCACAAAATCCCCTCCACACAAAGAATCAGAAGGGTTATATACAAAATAAAATTTTTTTTATTGTTTTTATTAAAACAGAGTGAAAGGACTCTGTCCTCAGCACCCTATGTGTGCGTGGTTGGAACATTATGGGTATGTGATGACAAAATACTCTCTGTGTCCTCTACATGGGCGGCATCCCATAGAAACAGTGGTTCTCCGTAAACAGCCCAGGAGCCGAACGTCCCCCACAGCAGAATCCGCTGGCAGCTGCCCAGCTTGAATGTTTTTGTACTATCCTTGACTTCTACAGTTGGCAGAGAAAGAAAAAAAAAAGCCAATTCTAGAAACTAGAGCTGTTGGATGGATGGACGGATGTCCAGAAATGGAGGGTGAGAGAAGAGAAGTGTTTCTCTTATATTTTGTTAAGCATTGGGAGCAATTATAGGATCACTGGAAAGATTTCAAGTGTTTTAGACACACAAAAGCCAACAAAGTCTCCTGGTATTTTAAAACCAAAATCACCAAGCTTAGTCTCCTTGTAAGAACCTTAGTGTCACTTCAGGACCCAGGAGAGACAAACGCCGCAGGCATCCCTACCAAACCTTAGAGGCTGTTAAAAACTCCACTCAAGGGAGCTCTTACTGTAAGAGGCTGACCTATGTTGCCCCTGAGCCCTGCCACTCTTGCTAAGGAGGCTCTGGACAGCAGTGCTCAGCCCTAGCTCCACCCACGTTCTTCTGGGCCCACCTGTTGCTGGAGGAGTCCTGGTTTCCTTAAATTTTCGGTGAAGTTAGCTCGAGTTGAACAGGGGAGAGGGCAGAAGCACGTGACGTGAAAGCACACTATTGGTGGAAGTCTCTGTTGGCTGCTTAGCAGCTCACTTTTCTGTGAGTTAGATGAGTCAGTTCCCTGTTCTAAGAATCGATCCACTAAATTATTTTTCATCACACATGCCTTATTAGTGATAGCTTCAGGCAAAGCAGCCAAGAGACGAACCAAGACAATGTTTGTCTGGGGAAACTAGACTTTTCTAATCTACTTTCAGGGATGCACATTGGTTATTTGGGAGTCTCCAAACTCTGCCCTACACATGCAAAGTTCTGTCTTCCTAGTGTTGCGCATGTGACAATATTGTCTTTACGTGTCATCAAGTCCCAGTCAGCTTGATGGAACTGGAGTAACTTGGGCTGTCACAACAAAACAGCACAGACTTTGGTGGTTTTAATGACAGAAATTTATTCACTGTTGAAGAGGTGAAAAATCCAAGGTAATGGTGCCAGTAGGGCTGGTTTCTGGTGAGGCCCCACTTCTTGGGTTGCAGATGAGTACATTCTCTCTGGGCTCTTGCATGACTTTATCTGTGGGTGCTCTGCAGTGGCGGGTAGGGTGAAAGGAGAGAGACACACAGAAGGAGAGAGAGAGATGTAGGCTCTCTTTCTCTTCCTTCCAAGACATCAGTCTTATTGGGCATCAATTAACCTGAATTACCTTTTTCAGGGTCCCGTGAGGGCACTGTGTACACTGTCAAATTGGGAATTAGAGCTTTAGCATGGATTTTTTTTGGGGGGGGGGCAGGGGCAGGAACAATTCAGTCCATGGCAAATGATAAATATTGATTAGTACATATTAATCTGGATATGCACAGGGCATTCATATCATGTGTTAATAATACTAGGTAATCGTGTAGACTAAATTAATTAATGAAATAAGCTAATTGGGCCGGCGCCGCGGCTCACTAGGCTAATCCTCCGCCTAGCGGCGCCGGCACACCGGGTTCTAGTCCCGGTCGGGGCGCCGGATTCTGTCCCGGTTGCCCCTCTTCCAGGCCAGCCCTCTGCTGTGGCCAGGGAGTGCAGTGGAGGATGGCCCAGGTGCTTGGGCCCTGCACCCCATGGGAGACCAGGAAAAGCACCTGGCTCCTGGCTCCTGCCATCGGATCAGCGCGGTGCGCCGGCCGCAGCGCGCCGGCCGCGGCAGCCATTGGAGGGTGAACCAACGGCAAAGGAAGACCTTTCTCTCTGTCTCTCTCTCTCACTGTCCACTCTGCCTGTCAAAAAAAATAAAAGAAAAAAAGAAAAAAGAAAAAGAAATAAGCTAATTGGAATTTAGCAGATATCAGTCCATGCCATAGACAAATGGAACAGGAGATGTTTCATAGTATTATTGTTAGTAGCTTTATTAGTAATATTAATATTAGTATTAGTATTTTGCACATGGAAAAACTGATTTGGAATCTTGACTTTACCACCCATTGGTTATGGGAACTGGGGGCACTAGTTTATCCACTCTGAACCAAACATCTTTGCTATGAACGAGGGTTACTGCAAGGATTTACATGGGGAATTTTAGCATAGCACCTGACACGTAATATACACTCAGAAAAGGAACTGAGTAAATCAATACAATGATTTGTCATTATAGTTATGCTAATATCAATATCAAAACTGAATTAAATTCATTAGCCAGTGGATATTTATCAGAATTCTCTGGTAAGTTAAATGTTTTATATTCTTCTGACTTCCAAGTTGGAATCTGGGGGACTGTGTTCAAAGCAATGCTGTTTTCTGTGGTGATATCCAAGCACTCCAAGCCTTCTAACTTGTCTTAGGTTCAGATATTGGCACTAGACACAATCTCCCAGTGGAGGCCGGGTACTCGGGTACCATTAGGAGGCAACACTAGGAGGGAAAGGTGCCAGTCCATGGGCAGCATATAGCTGGACACGCTGATTATCTTTGAAGATGGTACCTACAAATCACCTTAGTTATGCCCTGGTTCACGTGTAGCCTGCTTGGGGTGAAAACACTACCTCCAAGCATAGGGCAGGGTTTGCTTGTAAATGTGAGTGGAGATGGAGTTTCTGCTTTTAGCTATAAACCTTCTATTTTTTGGCAACAACAGCTTCAGGGTATTGTAGATCTTATGAGCAAAGCAGTAGGAGATTTTGTTGTAATTATTTTCTAATTACTGCTCCTCACATAGCATTTGACATTTATAAGCAATTCAGTTATTTCCTAAACTTGATTTTATGGATTTTTCTAGGTTTGGCATTGCCCTTGCTTCTTGGCACAGTATGCTGTTACTATTTTTAAAAATAGGCATGACAGTGAAGATACTGAAATGGAAATACAGAGCCAAAACAGAGTTTGCGTTCAACTGGAAGAACCTAGAAGCTGACATTCCAATGTCAGTGGGTTCTTCTACTCTTCTTTTCTACAACGTAAGCTTTGCTTTTAAAAGCTAAGTTGCTGCTATCACATTAAGCAGTATCAATTTAATTCCCATCACAGTGAATGTTAATAAGTAATTTCACTTGCCTCCTAATGACTTTGTTCTTGAAAACATTCCTTTAAAATTATGCCAATCCAAACACTTATTTCCAATCTTCCTCTTAGAACATTGAGGAGCAAGAGAAATATTAGGTAAGAGAATGTTAGTTGTCATTAGATAAAAGGAATGAAAATATGTTATTAACTTCTAAGTTGCTGTTTTGGTCTAGAAGTCCATATTTGATTTCTCTCAGGCTAAACTTCATTTAACTTTCATCCTTCCAAGTGGCATAATTGTTTTCGTAGTAACTGTTCTATACCTATTTTTTCTTCTCCTATACCTAAAAAAGAAAATAATTTAAATAAGGACTGTATCTAAGCTTACAGGTTTCACACTCAGGGAATATACCTTCTAATGGGAAAAGGATAAGTATCAGATCCTTTGAAATATATACAGTGAAAATTTGGGCATTCTCTTTTTTTTTTTTTTGTAAGAGAGACCAAGAAAAATGCTGTCAACAATAATGTTAAATTCGGAAGTGTGAAGTTGTGCCAGCGGGTATTTTAGAGAGGCTGATGCTATACTTGGGAATTTGTCAGATGCATCAATAACGTTTCATAGCACATTTGGCTGTGTGCAAAAAGCAGATACCGAATTTCTCCATCCCTCTTGGGGAATAAACACCCCCCATTTTGAAATGTATTGGGGTGACTTCCTCCATTCTCTTCTTCTGTTTATTTTTATGGGGCTCTTTAAGGAAGTACCTAAGTTGTTTTGAAAATATCATATCTTAGCTCACACCGTGAGGGTTTGTTTACCACAGGAATTTTAGTTGTGCTCCTAGAAATAATGAAAAAAAATAAATTATTTCACCTGGGCAATTGGACAGACAGCTAATCTTACTGGTTAAACCGGCTGCTGGCTGACTGCCAGTGGGTACAATGAAAAGATTCTCCAATTAGCTGTCCATTAAAAAGCCACTCAACTCTCTCTCCTATCACCTACCATGTTCCAGGGACTTTGGTGACAACAAGGAGAAAGTGCGAGGGTAGCTGCTGATACATGGTTATGTCTGCGGTGAAAACATGCCCACCAAGAAAGACTTTCTGTTGTTCCTAAAGACTCAACACTTTGGTGTGCAGAAGGACCTCGGAGGATTATGACGTCTAGAAGAAGTTCTTGCAGAAGAACTCAGCCAAGTCGAGTCAGATCCTAATTGCCGTGCGTTTCCGCTGCCCCAGCGTCCTGTGGCCGTCTCTGATTCCTATGCTGTGGCAGTTTGAGAGGCATTGTTCACACTTAGCTGTTTGTGGTCTGCCAACCATTGCCCAAACAGAAGAGGAGCAGCACCTGTCATCTCCCCAGACCCAGTGACTCCAGTGTTTCAGAGTTTATTTTTTAAGGGGAGGTCATTTTGGTCCCCTTAACACTCAGCAAGAGCCCTTGATTTGAAGCTGTAGACACTACCTTCAGCGAGAAAGCCCCATGGCATCGTCATGCTGGGAACCAGGAGAGCAAGGGGGCCTGGTTGCCCCGTCCCAGCGTGGCAGGGGAGAGGCTGGGAGCTGTCAGCTCCTGGCACGGCAGCCACGGCCTCATCGCTAGCAGTGATTGCCATGTACTGAATGCTTGGCCCGTTTGAAGTCCTCCAAGAACTCCATCACTATTGTCCTTATTTCACCGAGAAGATTCGCACCTTGCCCACAGTAGGACGGTGAGTAGAGTGAGAGCCCGAAACACAGGATGCTCAGATTCCGAGCCCAGACTTCTGTTTCTCTGGCCATTGCCACCTCCTTCCAGAATTTGGCATTAAAAGGCCATGTTCCAGGTAAACGGTTAATGTTTTTTCCATGTTTATTTCATAATTATGACAACACATTTTATTCCTTTTATAATTTCATGGAATTTAGACAAATAAATGATAACCCTTAGGGTATAGCACATTAAAATCATTGGTCTATGTAGGCATCTGCTTTTATTTAATTAATTTAAGGTTATATGATGTCTGCTTGGGGACACCCAATTTAGGGATGTCCTCATCCCTAAATTTTTATGATAGTTTATGATAGTTTGTAACTACTGAGTGATCCCACACTGATTCACCTCCCACCTCCAGTTGGACTTCAAGAGTAAACTCTATTATGAAATCCATATTTTTATGCTTCTTACCTTTTAAGAAGAATTTTATCTTACATATCATAAAATGTCTTAAATCTTCACATGTTTCTGAGGTATAAATACTGTCATATTGCATATGATTTTCCAGTGATGCACATATAAATACAGCTATAGTTCATAGTTTCGCTTTGGTAAAATATATAATTCTAACTGTAGTACAACTTATTTATCCATTCTCCTTTCGGTAGATATTTAGACTATTTCCAGGCTTTATTGTTTTAAGGAAATGGCAGTGTGAATATTCTTGTATTTCTTCTGGTGTGCATATATCTCCTTAGGTATAAATATGAGAAAAAATTTAAACTTCTTATCTTATTAAAATTAAGTGGTAGCTCATTGTGTTCTTGGTATGAATTTCCCTAATAGCTAAGAAGATAAAAACTTCCTCTTATTTTTATTGGCTCCATGTATTCGCTTTTAGGATAAATGTTATCTATTCCCCTGCTTCTTCTAAGCTGTCTTTTTTCTTATTAATTTGAAGGAATTCAACACATGGTCTGTAAGTCACCCTATGTTGGTTATTTTATTGCAAAATTGTTGTAGTTAGTATTGCTTTCTTTTCGTAGTTTTTGATAAACAGGTATGGTAGTTTAATTTGTCCATCAGTATTTTATGTTTAGTGACTGTTGTAGCTTATTTAAGACAGAGTATAAGATTGGATATGAATTCGTTGAAGTTTTTCTTCTTACATTTAAATATTTAATTCGTATAGAGTTATTTTTACACAAGCAATAAGGGAAGGGCACATTTTGCTTTTCCCCATCACCACTGAGTATAAATCCTAGATCTACTTATTGAATAATGTGTATTTTTCCCATTGAGCTATCATGATATCCTTGACCATGCTAATAGTCCTTTTATATAAGAGACTATTTGGGACTTTCTAGTCTCTTGCACTGGTAAATTTATCTGCCTCTTAATCTGTTCCATAAGTACTTAATTATTATAATTTTACTATAAGACTAGCTATGTTGTGGGAAGTCCCTACTTAATTTTTAAAAAGATATATATTGGTAATGCTTAGCTAGTTGCTTTTTCCATATAATTGTAGAAAAAGAATGGCAAATTTCATGGAAAACAAAGCAGAGATTTTAATTAGAGTTACTATGAGTTTTTGGGACAGTATATGAAAATTGACATCTTTCATATATCACTTTCTTCTACGTGAACATGGGCCATCTTTCCATTTGTTTGGAGCTTCTGTATTTCTTTAAGTTAAATTTATAACTCTTTTGTTATGTATATGCATAGATACTTTATTATTTTATTGCTTAAATAAATGGTGTTATTTTAAATTATACTTTGTACAGTTTTTCTGTTGTACTTGAGAAATGTACTTGACCTTATTTTTGTATATTTTGGTTTATATTATATCCAGATACTGATCCATACTAATACGGATCCATACTATTATTGCTGATGCATATAATTATGTAATGATACCTGAACTTTGATATGGGATGGCGTTGTTGCAAGCAGTGGTTTAACCCACTACGCCACAACATCGGTCCCTATTTGACTTTTAATTGTCTGTAGAAATTTCTTTGTAGTAGGTTAGTGGGGCCCATCTCCTCCAGTATTTATTTAACTATGAATGTGTTTATTTTGGCCTCTGACGGCTCCATTGGGAATACATCGTAAAAAGACAAGCATGGTAGTTAGTAAACTGGTTCAAACGCTTGTGCAGGCGCCCGACAAAGGAAGCTGGTGGATGGCAGAGTTTGGCTGCAGTGGAGCTGGGGAGGAGTTTATCTGATCTCGACGCGGTTTCAAGGTGCAGCCAACAACAGTTCCTCTTCGGATTCAGGGTTTGAGAGAAAGCAAGGGATGAACTTGACAGGGAATCAAGGGTCTTGGGTAACCTGAAAGATGGATTTGATACTACTGAAGATGGGGGGGTCATTTGGAGGAACAGATAGGATTTTGGTTTGGGACATCTTCATGCCATATTTACTACACAGAAACAGGAATGCTGCGCATGTGAGTGTGGCGTTAAAGAGAGAGCTCTGCGTTTTTCAGTCGTACACATAGACGACATTTAAAGCAAGGAAACTGGATGAGGTCACCATGGAGAGAAAGGGGTGGAGAACTGGGTCTTGGGAGACTCCAGTGAGGAGAGGTAGAAAGAGGGTGGTGCTGGTGGTGGGGGATCAGCAAAGGATACAGAATCAGTAGCCAGTGGGATAGAGGGGGAAGAGAAGAGTAGCATGGTCCCAGAACCCAAGTGAAGGCACAGTACAGGGACAAAGTTTCAATCATTGCTTTCTCAAGATACAGATGTAAAAGGTGTGTGGAAGACAGAAATGATCACTGATTTAATGTGGAAGAAATTATGCTCAAGGAAATTGTACTCAAATTAGAGAAAACTGTTTCAAAGGGTTTTCATGCTGAGGGCAAGAGAAAGGATTTAGAATCTGGAAGGTAAGTATTACATGGGGTTGACCAGCGTGGTAGCCACTGGACACAAGTAACCGCTCAGTAATTGAGATAGGAACAGTTTGAACTAAAATGTGATGGAAGTATAAAACAGACCAAAGATTTCAAAAATTTTTACCAAACCAAGTAAACTATCTCAATTATTTTTAGTGATATATGTTGAAATGATAACATTTTGGATCCATTACACTAAAAATATAAAGATACCTAAATATTCAATTGAAAATGGGTGTTATGAAAAACTATGAAAATATTTCAAAATACATCACATCAAGTAGCTTGTATTTTTAAAAATTTATTTATTATATTTGAGAGATACACAGAGAGAAGAGAGAGAGAGAGAGAGAGAGAGAGAGAGAGATAAATGTCCTACCTGCTGACCTGCTCCACAAGTGCCTGCACCAACAGGGGTAGGCCAGCCGAAGTTGGTAGCCAAGAACTCAGTCCAGGTCTTCCACATGGGTGACAGTGAGCCAGCTATTTGAAGTTATCACCTAATGCTTCCCAGGGGGTGCATCAGCAGAACGTGGGTAGTTGGAAGCTGGAGCAAAGCCAGGACTCAACCCGCCACTCCAGTATGGCCTGTGGTGTTGCAAGTGATATCTTAGTTTCTACACTCTAAATTCCCAGCTCACACTTATCGTACACATTTTGGAGTTCCTTCTTATATTATTAACATTAAGTTCTCCTTTTTAAGGTTTATTTTTAAATGTGTATACTAGAAAATTTAAAGTTACATTGTGGTTTACTTTATATTTTTACTGAAATTCAAATACACTAGAACTATAAACACTTAATATGTAGGAGGTTGTGCATAAAAACATTCTCTGGGACCATAGTGGTACAGAAAGTTAATTTGCTACTTGGTACACCAAGAGCTTGGGTTCCTTTCCCACCTACATTTACAAACCAACTTCTCCTTAAAGCACACCCTGGGAGGCAGAAGATAATGACTCACTATTTGTTCTCCATCACTGATGTGGGAGGCCCTTAGGGAGTTACGGGCTCCTGATTTTGGCTAATTCCAACCCCAGATGTTGCAGGCATTTGAGGAGTGAACCCCAAATGGGTGGAAGATGGATCTTTCTCCCCGCCACCTCCTCTCTCCCGCTCTGCCATTCAAATAAATAAAAATAAAAAAAACACAAACTGTAGAGCATATTAATTTGTAAATTATTGAAGATTATCAAATGGAAGCCTTCAGGATAGTGAAGGTATTTGAAGCAAAGCTGATCATTTAAAACCAGCCACGGTGGAAAGGGTCTCCTTTCAGACACTTGGAATGTTTGCTTCAAAGCTATGAGGAAGATTTTGGATCATTTCCTCAAAGGTCTCACTAAAGTTGGTAGAATTTAAAAATAGTGTGTTAATTGCTATAGATTTTCATAGATATTGAGTCCATCTGAGTCCATGATTGCATAAATATGAAATAGCTAATAAGATGTCTGAATGTTTTGCATCTTTGATATTTTGAAATTAATTTTATTTCATGGTTCTTCAAGCATGAAATGAAAGCAATTTTCATGGAAAACTGCTTGATCTAGTTATTATCTGACCATTTGTATTCTCACACGATATTTGATGAATCGGTGTTAACGATACGGCTTCATCCTTTCCTGGTAATTACATAATTACTAGGGATGCAGGAATCCAGCTGTGTTTGGGTTTCACTGAACATCTTGAACTGTCATTCCAACATTTTGAGTAAAATTTTAAAAAAGCGATTTTATCAAAGATGGTTTAAAATGTTAAACACACATACTTTTCAGAAGAAATTTAATCCATTTACCATTCCCTCCTGAAAGCTTTTGTTAAGTGAGGACTCTGTGAAGTTCAAGAAGCCGGATGTGCCGTGTAACGAGCTCTGTCTCTACTCACTTCATTTCCCATCATCCAACAGTCATCTTTGCAGAACAAGTGCATTTTCAAGCATTGGTCTTAACCCTAAAAGCTCTACAGTATTTCAGTTGTTTCTGATTGTGTTTAACACAAGTGTTTCCTTAGTATCGTGAAAGCATTTTGGTTGGTTATCACTGGCTAAAACACCTTCTGATTTTGTGTAATTACTCTTTCACCAACATTGAATTGTGATAATGTGCTTGCTAATTGGCTACATTGTAGACTGCTTTTAATTTACTAAAGTAGACAATCACAATAGCAAAGCCTAGCATACGGCAGGCACTTAATTAATATGTTTCAAAATAATCAATTAACTAATAATGTGTATTTGTTTTAAATTCCATTTGTGATGACTGCTTTATAGAGCAAAAACTGCACTAATCCCTTTTCAATACTTTCCTATTGCTCATGTCTATAATAAAATGTATTTATGTAAAATAAAAAAAATTCAGTGGCTCAGTTCTTAACTTGAATGAGACACTGATTAATATTTTACATTTATAGAAGTGTTACAAATAATAATCAGAATACTGTATAAACACATGTATAAAATATAATGTATAATACATTTGTAATAAATATACTTAATATTTATACTATACATAAACATGCATATATATATACATATGATACCAAATATGCTTTTATTAGTGTATTAAATATTTTACTGCAATGTGTGTTATATATGTTATATAACTGTATATATATTCTTTTTTTATAAATTCTTATTTTTTTAATTTTTTTAATTTTTTTGACAGGCAGAGTGGACAGTGAGAGAGACAGAAAGGTCTTCCTTTGCCGTTGGTTCACCCTCCAATGGCCGCTGAGGCCGGCACACTGCGGCCAGCGCACCGCGCTGATCTGATGGCAGGAGCCAGGTGCTTCTCCTGGTCTCCCATGGGGTGCAGGGCCCAAGCACTTGGGCCATCCTCCACTGCACTCCCGGGCCACAGCAGAGAGCTGGCCTGGAAGAGGGGCAACCAGGACAGAATCCGGCGCCCCGACCGGGACTAGAACCTGGTGTGCCGGCACTGCAAGGCGGAGGATTAGCCTAGTGAGCCGCGGCGCTGGCCTTGTATATATTCTGACACTATTTCATTTGCTTTTCACAGTGATACCATGAGAAAACCTGATTTTCTAGAGGAAATGCAGAAGGAGGACTGCTGCCTTGAGGTGGTAAATAATTTTTATATCAATAACATCTGTAGTCTACTTCAAGTTGAGGTATATATGTATATATTTTATTATATTTATTTATATTTACAGGAAGAGTTACAGAGAGAGAAAGAGAGGGAGAGAAAGAGAGAGAGAGAGAATGTTCCATCTGCTGGTTCACTCCCAAGTGGCCACAACACCTGGGGCTAGACCGGGCCAAAGCCAGGAGCCAGGAGCCAGGAACCAGGAGCTTCTTCCAGGGCTCCCACTTGGATGCAGGATCCCAAGCACTTGGGCCATCTTCCACTGCTTTCTCAGGCCATAGCAGGCAGTTGGATCAGAAGTGGAGCAGCTGGGACATAAACCAGTTCCCACATGGGGTGCTGACATCGCAGGAGGCAGCTTAACCTGCTAAGCCACAGTGCTGCCCCAAGATGAGGTATATTAATGCACAGCTTTGCTTGCTTCCTTTCACACAGTCAAGAATAGGCATTTTCTAGGCCTGATCTAGTTTTTGCAGGGAAATTGCTCAATAAAAGGGTACTTGAAAAAGTGTGTGCACAAACGGAATTAAAAGATGTTTAATTTGGAACTAAAACTTTTGAAATACATAGTTTTTTTTTCATAATATGCACATTCTGTGACCCTGTAAAGACCCCTCATATGCACAGATTTCAACATTTCTTGCAATAGAATAAACTTACATTGTAATCACATTTTCAGTTAACCTTTTGAAGTATCCTTGTAGCAAGATTTATTAAGCACAAGGAGTAGGAGATGAAGGGTCCAGAGAAGTTTCTGGAAATCACTCACCTATTTCCCCCAGCACTGAGCATTCTCGGCTCTTCGTCTTCCTTTAAAATCTCTGTCTAGTTTCTCCCAAATCACAAGATAATTTTGTTGGTGTAACAGGTGTCTGTGCTTCCATTACTTCACTCTAGAGTTAACAAGGAGATGGAGAGGAACTTTAAGGTCATACATAAACAAACTACAGTCATGTGTATCGTATTTTGTTTTGTTGGTGTCAAGGAGTACAAAATAATCAATTTGCAGGTACTCCATATATTTTTTTTACCCAACTTCAGCTATCTTAAGGACTGTCAATGAACTCCCAGATTGGTGTCCATATTACCAGAAATTTCAGCTGATGGATCTGTTTATAAGGTCACATTCATGGAGGGTAGATATTCATAGAAAAAGAATTCCTCATTTTCCTTCAGAGTCTGTGAATTATATCCTTAAGTGTGCACTCACAGTCCCAATTTCTCTTAATCGAACTTTCGCTCCAATTCATGAAAAGATTCATTACAACACATTTCTTTCTGTGGAAAGTGTGCTCAGAGACATAGACCTGGCATACCTTTTCTTAAATAAAAGGGTGAACAAGCAGGGAGTGAATGTGGATGGGTGCAGTGACTCTGTATTCGTTGTGGGACTGTGAAACTCATCTCTTTCTGAAAATTGCTAGAACCTCGGCTTGTGTACAACCATGTGCATTTTATGTACATGTGTGTAGCGTGTAGCAAGGCCTGGAGTCACGAACAAATGGTTCAGGGATGTGAGCAGTTTCTGCCAGCACCTGGCCTCGTTTTCTGTGTACATAGTACAACAGATACTGCTGATCTATTTGACATCTCTGCCTAAAACTGAGATTCTGTTAATTTACTCCAGATTACCTGCTGGAGACAGAGAAACTGGCTATTCTGTTACTTCCGGGAGATCTGAATTCCAGCGGACTTCCATAGCAGGTCAATAACATCTTGTTTTGTCTTGGCAACAGTTCACGACTCCTCCCTCAAGCTTTGCTAGAGTGTAAGCAATGACTTGTTTCTGCTAAGGGTTCCTCCACAACTTGGAAGGGAGCTGGCACCTCTTTCCCAGCCACCTTAACCTTTCCTTGGGTAAAACACTCACATAGGAATTAAACATTCATCACTGGCCACACACACACCAATCATGCTGTTTTGCTTTTTTAAAATTCACTCTTCCCTGGGCTTTTACTTTTTTCTTTTGTTTTGTTTTGTTTTCAGTTGGGAACTGCCCAACCCCACTTTGCTAAGCTGAAACTAACCTTTCCACTCGGCAAAAAGGGCATCTTTGCCTAAGCAGATGGTGATGTGCACTGGTGTGTGCAATTTATTTCCATGTCACTGAGCATTACAGACTTTGCAGAAGCAGTTTCAAATATATTTTAAAATAAAATATGATGCATTGGGTTATGGTCTGTGTGGATTATTTTAAAGGCAGGTGTGCCCCTCTCTTCTTGCTTTAAGAGCTAACGGTAGGTAAGCAACCCAAGTCGTACTTGCAAAGTCATGATTCACCATTTGGGAAGGGATAGGGGCTAAAATTTAGCTTCACCAGCATAACAGCTTCAATCAACTTCCAGCCATGTCGCTGACATCAATCAGTGAAATAGAAAGGCATGGTGACAGAACCTTCTCCTAAGAAAACGTTCGTTACCCATCACATCATATGATATATTAGAAAAGAAATTGTCAAAAGCTTCACCAGATGAAATCAACATCTGAGATTTCTGGGCCTGTCTCTGCCATTACTCAGACACTTAATTTCTCTGGACTTTAGTTCTAGCACATAAAATACAGGGTTCCATTTATATTAGCACTTCGGAGAATAAACTTCTCAAAAACTCTTTCTTCAAGATCCACAGTGAAGAATTCCATGATCAAATAAGTTCAGAAAGCATAAACACTGTCACATTAAGGAGTTCATGGATAATTTTACAAAAGTCCAGCAGCAGAGAAAACATACAATGCTGTTTAATTCTGTGTTTCTAAATTTTCTTTGACCATGAAATATTTTACCTATTAAATGCTGAGATATAGCTTGATGATAACTTTTACAATTTTTTTTTTTTTGACAGGCAGAGTGGACAGTGAGAGAGAGAGACAGAGAGAAAGGTCTTCCTTTGCCGTTGGTTCACCCTCCAATGGCCGCCGCGGCCGGCGCGTTGCGGCCAGCGCACCGCGCTGATCCGACGGCAGGAGCCAGGAGCCAGGTGCTTTTCCTGGTCTCCCATGGGGTGCAGGGCCCAAGCACCTGGGCCATCCTCCACTGCACTCCCTGGCCACAGCAGAGGGCTGGCCTGGAAGAGGGGCAACCGGGACAGAATCCGGCGCCCCGACCGGGACTAGAACCCGTGTGTGCCGCGCCGCTAGGCGGAGGATTAGCCTAGTGAGCCGCGGCGCCGGCCGATGATAACTTTTAAAATAATTCCTAAAAGCCCATCCATCTAAACCTTAAGGGCATTTACATTTTGCTGAGTAATATTTATTGTATACTCGAACTGTTGAATTAATATAATCTATTTTATGATTTTAGTTTTACTGCCTAATGTATTACATATCCCATATCTCATAAAGGAGTGGAAAGTAGCCCTGATATAATTAGCAAAATCTGGTCTTCAGATTTTATGACAGTGTTCCTTGTCTTCGTGATATATTTTTAATCTCTTTGAGTTTTCAGTTAACGTACTATTTTAAACTCACATAACTCACAACCACTGTGTTTACAGTCAGTTTTATTATTCCACCCTTAAACATCAAAAGAACTTGAAATCCAGTAAATACCTGTTAAAGTTAGAACTCAAAGTGCAAATTCACTGCTTTCTGGATTGAGTTACTGGACTTTTTTTATTTGAAATTCAGAGTTACAGAGAGAGAGGGAGAGACAGAGATCTTCTGTCCATTGGTTTTCTCCCCAAATGGCCAAAACTGCTGGGGCTGGGCCAGGATGAAGCCAGGAGCCAGGAATTCCATCTGGGTCTCCCATGTGGGTCACAGGGGCCCAAGTACTTGAGCCATCTTCCACTGCTTTCCCAGACCGTCAGCAGGGAGTTGGATAGGAAGTGGAGCAGCTGGGACAGGAACCTGTGCCCATATGGGACGCTAGTGTTGCAGGTGGCAGGTTTACCTGCTAAGCCACTGCATTGCTTTTTATACTATGATTACCAGAATCCAAACATTTAAAAACAAAGCAATAAATATCGTTTACTGATAGTTTCAGACAAAACAATGTGATGCTTGGGTTCATGGACATTTAGAGTTGAGATGGTAAGGTTTGGGGGGTATGAGGAGCTGAGGACATATTGTGTTATAACTGGTAATTCCTATAGATATATGGCAAAAAGAATATTTGGAACCCAAATGATACCATATGCCATATGAATTTGTCACCTTGAATTGATTCTTTGATTCTGGCAATAATTTGGCAGCTTCCACACTGTGGATGCCATATGTTGGTGGTCTCACTGCTGTGTGCCAAGTCAGCTTCATAATTGGTTCATGCTATGGGAAGTAGCCTCACCACATTCTTTATTTCTCATACTATTGGAGCCTCCTTACCCTACTGTGTGCCGTGTCTCTGGAGATTGCCACCCAATTATTCTGCAATGGAGAATGAACGCACAGAGAATATCAAAGGTACTTTTCATACATGTTTCAGAAAATACGTGTTTCAGAAAATACCCACTTAAGAGACAAAGATTGCCTAATCTATGAGTATTCTTTAATGTTATGCTAATTCTAAATTTCCCTGTGGAATCACAATATAAAGATCTAACTTTTGCTGAATACTTCCATGTCCTGGGTAAAGCACTAATCACTTCCTGTGCATTTTCTTGTCTTAATTTTTAAGACGTGATGGGATTGCTTTACAAATAAGGAATATGAGGCTCAAGTCATTCACAGTAGGAAATCAACTCTCTACTCTGTGCTACAAAGCTCTACCATCTCTTATTTGCCTTGTTGTGGTTTATCTTCAGAACAGGAAGCTTTGTAGCTACTCCAATAAGACCAAATACATTTTTCAGTCATCTGACTGTTATTGGTTGAAGATTCTCCATGCTGAACATTCAGCTCACAAAATAATAACATCATCATCAACAAATAAATATTTACAAATATTTAAGAATATGGAAGCTTTTATTAGCTAAAAAGCCAGTGTTTTTTTTTTTTTTTTTTTTTTGACAGGCAGAGTGGACAGTGAGAGAGAGAGACAGAGAGAAAGGTCTTCCTTCCATTGGTTCACTCCCCAAGTGGCCGCTTCGGCTGGCGTGTTGCAGCCAGCGCACTGCGCCGATCCGAAGCCAGGAGCCAGGTGCTTCCTCCTGGTCTCCCATGGGGTGCAGGGCCCAAGCACTTGGGCCATCCTCCACTGCCTTCTCGGGCCACAGCAGAGAGCTGGACTGGAAGAGGAGCGACTGGGACAGAATCCGGTGCCCCAACCAGGACTAGAACCCGGGGTGCCAGTGCCGCAGGTGGAGGACTAGCCTATTGAGCCATGATGCCGGCCTAAAAAGCCAGTATTAACTCAAGTAAATGAAACTATAAAACTTCCTTTTCTCCTTTATCGAATGCATGATGAGAGGTATATACAAATTAAAATGCTCTAGTAAGTCTATTGATTCTGCTTATCAACATTACACTTACAGTTTAGCCTTAATTGTTTAAATGAGTCTATGAATAGATTTAGACAGATGGCTTATTCTTCCTCTGAATGTCAATATTTTCCTGGTACAAGTTGACATGAGTGTATAACCACAGGTGCCAAGTAGGAATTTTCTCATATATTATGGTTAAGGCCAACAGTCTGCAGTACAATATTACAAAAACTCCTGTGGCAATTAACCCCATTCACACAAAACTAGTTTCTGGGAAGGAATGATGGTTTTATCATTGTCACCTGTGCCAACTGGGTAAAGGCCCCACTATGTCTTGGAGCTCTCGGACTATGTTTGTAAGCTCCGTAAGTTCCAGGCACTGCTGTGCTTGCTATGTGGGACCTTGAGACTCCGTATTTGCATTTCGGTGCTGCAGGCCCATTGTTGCCCATGCATAATCGCCAGGATGACCCATGCTTTTCCTGTGGAACCTGAACAAACTATCTTAACTCCCCTGCAACTCTGGAACTGTGACTGAGTACTAAGTTTCTCAGAGTCAACAGAAACCATCTTGTGGGAACTACAGCTCCAGGCCAGCACCTGCCTGTTCACAAGCCCCAGCATAACATGTCATTATGATGTGGGACTGGGGCAAGGTCTCTTACTTCCCCCAGTGCTGGGATTTCAGTGCTTTAAGCCCCAGCACCACCCTGCACACCCAGCAGGACTTGGGGAAGGTCCAGTCCACATCACACAGCTCAGGGGTCACAGCCATTGATGCCACAAGCCCAAGCATCTCTCAAGTTAGCCTGATGGGACAAGGGGATGACTACCTCTGGGTCTCACACACCAGAAATGTGGATATTGCTATCACAAACCCCAGAGTGACCAACATCCCAGTGTCTGGGGCCTGAAAAACGCATCTTTGAAAACCCACATCCACTTCAAAATCTTATTGCTTCTCCATGAACTGCCACATACTAGACAGTGACTGCACTCATAGATACTGCTGGAATGATTACATCTGAAGAAAACATGCAGAAGTTACACTTCTAGGCTCACCTAATACCAAAGCCAAGGCAACTGCCGAACTGACACTCCTAGTCCATCTGAACAAAAAACGCATTTTGAAATGACAGCTGCTCCGTAAAGGAGGAACTGTTACACCAGATGTGCCAACGTCAATGCAGGGACACAGAAAACAGGAAGAAGCGAGAAAGCATGGCACCTGCAAAAGAACACAATAGGTTCTAATTTGAAGGAAATCTACGAAATGTCTGGAAAAATTTTCAAAGTAATGATCTTAAGGAAATTCAATGAGATACAAGAGAATACAGATAAATGCTTCAAAGAAATAAGGAAAAAAGTGCGAATCTCAACGGAGAAATTTCTAAGAATCAATGAGAAAATTTGGAACTGAAAATTTGGATCAATGAAATAAAGAAACACATTTGAGATTTTCAGCAACAGAATAAAGAATTTCTGATCCTGAGGACAAGACCGTTGAAGCAGTCCAGTCAGACACAAGGAAATAGAAAAGAATGAACAAGAATGACCAAAGCCTATGATATAACACGGATACCATCAAGTGAACACATGTTCATACTATAAGGGTACCTGAAGGAGAAGAGAAGGAAAAAGGCATTGCGAACATATTTATAGAAACAATACTTGGAAACTTCAGAAGTCTTTTTAGAGATGTGCACCAAGATACAGGAATCTCAGCGGACCCCAACCAGACTAAAGCAAAACAAGAGCCGGCGCCGCGGCTCACTTGGCTAATCCTCCACCTTGCAGTGCCGGCACACCGGGTTCTAGTCCCGGTCGGGGTGCTGGATTCTGTCCCGGTTGCCCCTCTTCCAGGCCAGCTCTCTGCTGTGGCCAGGGAGTGCAGTGGAGGATGGCCCAAGTGCTTGGGCCCTGCACCCCATGGGAGACCAGGAGAAGTACCTGGCTCCTGCCATCATATCAGCGTGGTGCGCTGGCTGCAGCAGCCATTGGAGGGTGAACAAACGGAAAGAAGACCTTTCTCTCTGTCTCTCTCTCACTGTCCACTCTGCATGTCAAAAGCAATAAGAAAAAAAAAAAAAACAAGGAAAAGAAAAAAGCCCTCCAAGGCATGTTGTAGTCAAATAAAAAACTTCATACACCACAGTGAAGTGAAATTTATCCCAGGGATACAAGTATGGCACAAAATTCAATGAATTAAATGAATTAAATCAACAGGATGAAGAACAAAAACCACAGTTAAAAGTGTATACGATCACTCAACAGGTGCAGAACATCATTTCATAAAATTCAACATCCCTTCATAATAAAAACTCTCAACAAATTAAATATAGAAAGAGCACACCTCAAAATCAAAAAGCCTGTACATGACAGAGCCACAGCCGATACCATACTGATTTGGGAGAAAACGAAAGACCTCAGACAAGACAAAAATGTCCACTTTCACCACTCTTATTCAAAATAGTAATAGACGTATTAGCAAGAGTAATCAAGAGAAGAGAAAGAAGTAAGAGCATTTGAGTTGGAAAAGAGAAAGTCAAAACATCCATGTTTCCAGTTGACATGATTTTGCACATGGAGAAATCTAAGCACTCCACCAAAAAGCTGTTAGAACTGATAAATCAGTAAAGTTGTGGGACAGTTTTTTGCTGTGTTTGATGAAAAGTGGACAGTCATGGAGAAACGTGATTGGATAACAGGGCCTGACCTAATGGTGCTGAACTGGGAATTTACAAGAACTATTTGT